TTGTTTAAATTAAATTTAATTATAAAAATTAATTATTTATATTTTAAAAAATAACTAAATAAATTTCAATATTAAATAATGAGAATAAATTAATACATTTGCATTTATGTAAATTAAGAACTGAAATTTTATTTTAATTGCTTCTATGAAAATATTAATTATTTCATTTAAATAATTTGCATACAAAATGACTTGTGTATTTTTTAATGGTAAAATCTCTCATTATAGGTAGTGATGATTATTACTCAAAGAAAAACAACGTATTCCCGGGCCTACAAAATCGAATTTCCTTGGGTTTGGAGGGACAAAATGAATGTTAGTGTGGCTTATTGCACATGATATGGAAATTGCATAAAAATAGATTGCATGGGTAAAAGAGCTCACAGTTATGACGAAAATGCCAAGCTTCAGTCAAATGAGATGTTTGATACAAAAAATGTTTCATTGGGATTTTTTTGTCAACAACAGGCTACTTCAGTTAATGCAATAGTTTCTGATCCTTCTAAACATCAATGTATTACAAGTAAGCTACTACTAATTGTACAAAATTAGCCCAAAGTAATAATTGGCATATTGTCTATTAAATTTATAAGTTTGAATACATTTCTATTTAAAAAAATTACAAAAATTCTTATGATGCTTTAGCTAATGTAGAAACTATTGTTTTTGTCTCTTCAAAAGTTGAAGGTTCTTGTATCATAAAATATTCATTAATTTTTTGTTATCTATTTAAAAAATCGATTATAAAATTTGTTAACTATTTGAAATACACTGAAAACTCATGACTTACTATTCTGTGCACTGTTTATATTAAGTCGTAAGTAGCGTCACTAATTTAGCTTGTATTATATTTTGGGATCTTATAATTACATATTCATTGAAATTATTAAATATATATCGAAACATATTATTTATCGTATCAGTTGGCATAAAGCATATATTTTTACGTAATGGAAGAAAAGTAACATTAAAAAATAGGATAAAATATATCTTAAGATAAATGAATAATTCGATAAGTAGAAATATTAAAGTTTAAAATAAATAATAGATTATTTTAATAAAGTGTACATTATTCGATATCATTTTTTTTAATTGAATGGATATAAATTAATGTAAATGAGATATAATTGTAATTAAAAATAATACAGTAGCATATAGAATTTTAATAGAAACTTTTTTTAATTGAATAAAAATTTAATTACAAGAACATATTAAATTATATTTAGGACAAATAAGTGAATAATTTTTTTATACATTAAAGTGAAACGAGTATTTTTTTTAGTAAGAATTTTAATAATTTAATTATAAATAATAGAATATAACTAATAATATAATAGCAAACACAACACTGACGATAATAGTAATAGTGCTGATGATCGTGATAATAATGATACATTAATTAGTAATTAAATTATATGTATTATGATAATATAATGAAAAGTTATATTATAAAAAAAGTGAAACATTTTTTTTATGTTTATTGTATATTTATTTTTCTAGTTACATATTTTTTTATCTTGAATACGATTTTAAAATTGGGCAATGTATGAATTAACCTTAAAGCTAATAATTCAATATGCCTTAATAATTAATTAAAATAAAATATTTTGTGATTATATAAATGCATCATATTGAATTATTTAACATTTAAATAGTTTGCAATGGAAAATATCATGAAACTAGAATCAATTAATTTAATTGTATAAATTAGTATAAGTAAAATTTTTTTATTTATTGGATATTAAAGTTATTTCTTAATTCTGAATTAATTAATTTTTACAAATATAATATATTTTAGATTGATTTAATTTATTGTATGATACATCATTTTATCCCAATTAAAATGAATAAAACTATTGATTACTAAATATAAAAATAACTGAAAGGATCGAATATTTAATATAATAGGTATAATAGGAAGTTTAATGGCTATAGTATCGGACTTACATAAATTTTATGTTCTAATTTGATTGAAGAAATATCATATTTTAATTACAGAATTATTATGTGTATTAATCTATTATTTTAATTTTAGAAGAGTAAATATTAAATAAAAGAATATTCTGTAAACAGAAAATGTAGTATTAAATTTACACATAAAATTCGAGGAACGAAAAATTAATTGTAAGATTATTAATTATATAATTTTATACTCGTAGGCGATCAAATAAATTAAAACTTACTTTATGATGTTCCAGTATACTTGATACTAAACATGACACTAATTTATATTGCAATTTTTTTATAAAAAGTCTATTCGTATGTTATATGTATTCATGTGTGCATGCCTATATTCATGCATGTATATACGTGGAATTATCGACTTTTTGGTGTCTACTTCTTATATTTTAAATTCCTGAAGTATACCTTATTTCAATTATTTGTATAAACATTTATATATATATAATCTTGATTTTCTGAAATTCTTTTACTATTTTATTTGTAATTTTGATTGCATCGATAATTTTTTAGCCATATATATTAAGTGTAGTTCAATATGAATTTCCTTGTTTAAAGTTTTAGTGGTTTTAATCATTAAATTTTATAATGGAGTATTCTATTTTATATTACATTTTTATATTCTTGCTACTTATTAATAAGGTTGCATTAATAATTTAAACAATTAAAAATATAATAAAATATTATCAAGTTTGCCCTGCGATAGAATTTCTTTTTTTAATTGTTCGTCAAAAAATATTATATGAAAATTATTGTTAATAATGCATACTTTCTACTCGCAAAGAATTAAATTAGAATAGCTTCTATTGGTAAAATTATTCGAGTTTTATTATTTTTTTTTATTCTTTATATATTCATATTTATGTTTCTTACGGTTTATACATAAATTATATGTTAATTCATTATTTTAAAATATACTTTATTTTAAACGTTTTTTTATCTTCTCTGTAAATTCAAACATTCATGTAGGTTTAGATACTTAACCGTGTTAATTTTATAATGAACTATTTGATGTATATCTTATTGCATAATTTAATTTAAATATAAGTAGAATGAAAATTACGAATACTGTCATAATAAATACCGTTTTAATATACATTTATTGACTACAAGTAGTGTATATTGAGACCAAATGGAAATTATTTTTATATTGTATATTTATTTTATATATAAATAACACATTTTTAATTTATGATTTTACGGGAAAAATTATCATTAGATTGTATTATGACTTATAGTTTTACTATATTGAGACCATATATAAATTAAAATTTACGACTAATGTTTTTTAAAATGGAAAATGTCATACGACCTAATATTTAATGAAAAAGTGGATGTCTCTCTGCCTTAATTTTTATTGGAATTTGTTTTTTAGGAATAAGTTTAATTCAAAATGAAAAATCATAATAATAAAATAATATATAAAATCAGTATCAAATTGACCCCACATTTTATTTATTGAATAGTTTAATTTTATTAAAAGGAAATTCTGTATTAAATTAGAGATTGAAGGTAATAAGTAGAATTTACAAGTTCAATTTATCAATTATCCGATATTCGAATTTTTTCAGTTATATACGGTTCAAATACAACAAATAATCATAATAGGAAATTTTAATCTTCGAAATATTATATATTAGATTTTCTTATGTTAATGTATTGTATACAAAAATATATCAATTATGAACATCATATTTATTTTAATAGTTTTATAATAATTAAACCCACTGAAATTTAAATAAAATGTATTATTGGATTATGTGCCAATTAAAAATCTCGTTGAATTAATCTTAATTAAAATATAATCTTAAATAATTTAAATTTAAAAATTTATTTTTATTAAAATTTTTCTTAATTTTAGAAAATGGTTGATTTAGAAAAAATTCAATGAAAAACTTAATTTCCATATCTTTGAGATAATAAGTATACCTAAATTATTGTCTATGTTTAAGCTCATTAAAAAAGTCTTTGTAATTTATATAGAATAAAATTTGTTTAATATTTCTTTATTATTGATATTTCCTCATATTTTTATGTCCTTTAAAATATAAATGTGGCTAAATATGTTTTCAAATCCTCTTTATGTAATTGTATTGTGTTAAAATTATATACACAAATGCAATATTAATTTAATAAAAAATTCTAGTTTTATGAATCTATTTGAATTGTGTTTTGACATAATATACCATACCTATATTCTGCTAACGTTTTAATATTTCTTCAAATAAGAAGTAAAATCCCAATATAAAAACTTGAATTATATTTCTTTGTTAAGTAACCAACCAATAAAAGTTTATATCTTTATTTTTTAAATTATAACATTTTTACTAATTTCTGAATTTTAGAATTTATTTAGTATTGAAATTTTGAAATAATTGTTTTTAATTGATATGTAATTTTAAATAATTATAAAGTCTGTACATACCAAAAATCAGAAGATTATTCGATATAAACAAAAATTTAACTACATATTAAATTTGTTTTAAATATTGCAGAAAAACATTAAATTATCTTTATCTGCAGCATTTTCTAAATAGTATTTTGATACTTATAAATGTTTGAGTTAAAGGCGATACAAGTTCTTTAAAAAACTACTATTATATTTATACAAAGTTTTTCACACTTAATATATAAATGTTACTAATAATTTAGATAATAATTTTTATCCAAAGTTAAATCTTCTTCAAAATTTGATCAGTGTTATAAATAAAATAGCTTAATGTATTTAAACAGTAAAAATGATTGAGATGAAATTTATTCTTTAATAATTTTATTAATAATGAATTATGAAATTTAGAATTTTTATGATTTAAAAGATATTGAAAACTGTATGTTTATTGCATATTAAATTTACTACAAAGTACATTAAGGCTATTGAAATATATTATTAATACAAATTATATTATATGTATGACAACTAAATTATTAATTTACAGAAATATTTTTAATAATTAAAAGATTTTATTAAAATTTAATACAATTTATATATTTGTTACTATTGATCAAGATCTTAATACTATTAAATCGTTTTACTTTTCCAGGGTGACTCTCCGTTTGGAAAATCAGAAGCATATATGAAATTAGAACAATTAGGAGAAGGTTCCTATGCGACAGTGTTCAAGGGTTTCAGCCATCTAATGAACCAAGTGGTCGCATTGAAAGAGATTAGACTGCAAGAGGAAGAAGGAGCTCCATTTACCGCTATTCGAGAGGCCAGTTTATTGAAAGAATTAAAACATAATAATATTGTTACACTACATGATATCATCCATACTCGGGAAACTTTGACTTTTGTATTTGAATACGTTCATACGGATCTTTCACAATACATGGAAAAGTACAGTAGTAATAGTGGAGGCCTTGATCCACATAATGCTAAATTATTTCTTTTTCAACTACTACGGGGACTTTCTTATTGCCATCGTAGGTAAGTGATACTAATTTTTAACATTATTGTTTGAAAATATTAATAAATATTTAAAAATTACTCTCATACAATCGCAGCAAATTAATTTAAAAATAAATAAAATCACGTATTCATACATCATAAAATATAGATGATGACAAATACTTTATTATTTTATTAGGTACTCCCTAACTTTAATAGGTATCTTTTTTAAATCCTGCTGTCCATATCTTGCTCAAGATTGCTTTTTAGTGACTTATATTTCTTGATCGTAATGTATACCGTACATTCGAAGTATTTTTACTGACATTAGTTTAAGCAATGAATGAAGATACTACATACGTCACATCATAATAATTTATTTAGTAATTTATGGTAACTTCATAAAAATATTTGAATGTATTAATTCAAACTAGAAATAAATATAAAATGAATCAGTAATTAGTTATTTTTAATATTTTTTCTATACAAATTATGGATTTCAATCTCCTTTCATATATTGAAATTAATAATCGTTTAAAAAAAAATCAATTTACATTGAATAAATTGAATATTATCAATTATATCTAATTAATCAAATACCTATGAAATGTAAATAATAAGAAAATCAGAAATTATTGTAAAATGATAAAAATATTTTTGATAGACTTTCATAGTATGTATTTTTTATTAAACCTTTATATTTAAAGGCAAATACACTTTTAAGGAAATTAAACTAAAAATCATTTCAAATACGTCAAATACAAATAATATAAGTATTATTATTTAATATTAATATAAAATGTATACACATTGTAAAATTATCTATAGAAAATATTTTTTATAATAAAGCATCATTCCAGTTTTTAAAGCGAATGATTATATATGTACACACACGCACGCGCGCGCGCGCGCTCACACATAACAATGAAATATTAACGTGAATTATCAATTGTATAGTTAGCAACATTATTAAATTTAAAATGCATATTATTACACCTTCGTATTAATGCATTTATATTGTATCTTTATTATTTATCATTAACTTAAATGTAAATCTATTTTAGGAGAGTGCTTCATCGAGATGTTAAACCTCAAAATCTATTGATTAGTGAAATTGGCGAGTTGAAGTTGGCAGACTTTGGTTTGGCTAGAGCTAAATCTGTACCATCACATACTTATTCGCATGAAGTTGTTACTCTGTGGTACAGACCACCAGATGTTTTACTTGGATCTACAGAATATTCAACTTCCTTAGATATGTGGGGAGTTGGATGTATTTTCGTAGAAATGTTGAACATTTCCTGGCGTTCGATGCACTTACGATCAGCTTGATAAAATTTTTAAAATTCTTGGTACACCAACTGAAGAAACATGGTCTGGAGTTACACAGTTACCAGGTTATAAACCTAATAGATTAGCTTTCTATCCGACGCGAAAACTTGGCCTTTCATTTCCAAAACTATATGATATTGCCGAAGTAGATAATATGGCATCATCGTTTTTACAACTGAATCCAGATGAAAGACTTGGAGCTGAAGATGCTTTGCATCACTTATACTTTGCTTCGTTACCTAGAAAGCTGTATGAATTACCAGATGGTAAGTTAAACTCTGAAGAATATAGTGTAATCTAAAGTATTGTATTAAAAATAACATTACTGAAGGCTATATCTTGTATATAATTTATTATATTATTTATAGCGCTATTGTTGATTATATTTTAAATACTAAAAAATGAATATATGAAATACTAAAAATTTTGTGTATTGCTTTTAAGTTCCTACGCAGTATAATTCTAATATACAAGCTATTCATCAGATTTATCAATATTAATATGTAAAATCAGAATATAGATTTTCTAAATATCAATATTTCTGTTAAAATAATAAATTGAGTAAGATTAAATTATAAAGAAACTTTAACTTATAATTTTCTTTTTAACATAGGAAAAACTTCAATCACCTATAACTTATTAATACTTTCTTAATTTAATATGATTATGCTAATTATAATCCTTGTACCTTATATTAGTGTATCAATATATATGTATCGATTAACATCAACATATTATTTTTATAAGATTTTAATTATGAGACCTCAAAATCTTTGGTAATGTCATTCAATTACTATAGATATTATTACTTTCTTGCAATTTGAATAAATTGCAAGAAATCTGTGTCTTCGTATTCCAATAAATCTTTAATATCAATTATGTTGTTTATTTTGTATTTACTAAATATATTTAAAGCTAAACATAAATTTGTGATCCAGCTTCCAACAGACAATAAGTTTGTACTTGAATTTTTATAAATCTTTTTAATAATATTTTTGTATTTATATTTATCATTAAAAGTTATTCTTAAGTCATTGTTGAAAGTGTATTAATGTTTCTTTATTAGTCATATTCAAAACAAATTAATTTATAGGATTCTTAGTACATTTATGATAACGAATACTACTTAAAAAACATAAAAAGTGATGATACATAAAAGGTTCGCAAATTGCTAGATAAATCACTAGTCAATTAATTTATTTACTATATGATTCATTTATTTCTCTGATGAAATAGTTGTATATATTTTTATTCTACATAAATCTTTTTTAATAATTCATTAAAAAATATATTTCATGCAACTAATTGAAAGTTTTAACACTGTGTAACAAATATTTACTGAAATTAAAAAAAATTTGTTTATTAAAATTTTTCACCAATTGCTATAGTAATAAGTTAATTTTATATTATTGTTATTATTTAATGATGACTCCTATCTTTGATCCTTGATTTAAGCATTTCACAATTTGTGGACAGTATATAAGTAAATATGGGAATCATATTTATTATAATTTTTGCTATTTATTTCATCCGACTTTTAATAAATTCATTTTTTAAATATTAAACTTTTCTAAAATATTATCTGAATATACAGAGTATCAAAAATGTTCTTTTTAAAATTTAAAATAAAAATTGTACATACATTGATTATATTTTCATGAATAATATAAAATTAAATAAGATATAAATAAGATAAAAATCCAATTGACTAATTTGTAATTCCTTCAGAATATTTATAAATACTTAAATTCTTTCAAATTTTTTAATACATATAGTTTGTTATTCATTATTTATATTATATCTTTGTGCATTTTTATTACTATTGTGTACTGACATTAGGAATTTTTAAAAAACATCAAATAGCTTTTATAACACTTTATACATTTTGTACATAATATACATTATTTAATTATTTTTCAATAACAATAGTAAAGAGTGTAGTAATATACTATATTGACATTTAAACAAAATCTAGTTTATATAATTTAATAATTTAATAATATAGTGTAAATAATAAATTTAACAGTAGAAAATATAAAATATGTTTAATTTAATTTTTGTATGATCTAATTAGAAATATATTGTAAAATAAATTGTAAAATATATTAATCAATATAGTAAAAGATAAAGTTATCAAAATATGTTATTTTATTACAGAAGTATCAATATTTAGTGTCGAAGGTTGCCGATTACATACAGAGATCCAACAAACATATGCTGATTCACGACAAACAATTCTCAAAACTTGAAGAATTTAGTAATAAAAATTAAGGTTTACTGAGCACATAATGATGAAGAAATTGGGATGAAAAATAATGACTAAAAAAGTACTTATAAATTTAACTTCGCAAGTACCTTTCTAGGTGAATGTTGTTTACAGAGGACAAAGGGAATATGTTTGATTATTGTACTTTATCTGAAAATATTAGATAAAACAATCAAAAGAAAATAGATAACGTACAAAATTATCAATAATGGATTAATGATATACAAAATCCAGAATGACTCCATATGTTTAATTATTAAATGAGTAAACCCTAGGTCTAGAATATTTTGAAGACTAAAATTAGAATTTAGCTTAAGTATGTATTAAATATTAAGTTTAACTTTTTTTTTAAAGATATTCTTTGCTATTATTTAAATATCGTTATAATTTAATTTATATGAACATTTAAAAATGACTAAATCATTCAGTCTTCAATTATATGAATTTATTGTTTGTAAATTAACTTTCTATGAATTATTCAGTGTCATTTCATACAAAACAAATAGTTGTTAATAAAAAAATTTGAATGAATGATAATGATGTACATAGACAAATTACAACAAAAAAAACTCAAAAATAAAAATAATAAATGTGATTTTTTAATAAAATTATATACAATTTAGTTTCTGTCTACATTTATTTTTATTGACATAAAAGATGTTAGGTTTTATTTACACATTAAAAGTTAATTACGTTATCATAAAATTAATTAATAACATTGAATTTTATAATATATTTGGTATTTATATTATATTGCTACCAATTCCATATGTATATTAGATGAATAGTTTATTTAAAAGTTTAATCCATAAATTTTCCATAAAGTAAATACAAAAGTAACAAAATAAAAGCAATTAAAAAAATTAATATTCAAAATACAATAATCATTAATTACAATTCTTTAGTTTAATTTATTTTAGATAAATTTGTTATTAAATTTAAAAATGATATATATTTTTCATTTTAATTGGTAATTGATTACAAAAAAGAGTATTTAATAAAATGTAAGAAAATATGAGAACAGAATGTATATTTTTAAATTAATTACCGGTTGGGTTGTTTAAAAGATGAGAATCATAAAAATGTGCCGTCAGGTTGCATTATTTGAAGGTTATGAATGCATTATATGCACGAGAATGGAAGTATATTAAGATTAAGTAACATAAAAAATGTATACAGCTATAGTTTAAATAAACAATTAAACTGGATTAAATTATCAAAATAAAGTCGTAAATATAAGTATACAAAAGACGGTTTTATTTATATAGAAAACATTAAAAGTATTAATAAGCCAATAATAGAAAAAGAAATATAAATATTAACAAATCCATTATGTAAGTTTAGATATTAGGTATCCATAATTTCATTACAATAAAACAATTGTTTTAAAATTATACTAAACACCATTTGTTTATGCTTAGAATAAATAAGTTCCTTGATAGTACAATTAAAAAATTCAAACAAAATAATGAAATACTTATATATTTAATTGATTCTTATAACAAAAAGTATTCTGAAATAGAAATATGCAAAATAGTATAATATAAACTGATTGCACCTCCACTGATCAAAAACTCCTATTTAGTCAGTTTATTATTTGTTGCATAACAAAGACAATTTTAAAAAAAATCTAAGGCTAAAGTAATTTAAATAGAAGGAATAAACTTATACAACCTGAATGTAATATTTTTAATAAATCAAAGGGTACAAATTACTATACCTCTTTTTGGCTATTTAATATACTATTGCACATTTCATCAGGGTTAATAAACATCCTTTTCAACAAAAATATATGCTTCCACAATTACATAAAACGTAATCAATTTTTCTTTTTAATCTTAATATGAAGCAAAATAATTTAATATAATACATTATATAAATTTAAATAACTATGTTACTAAAAATTAAGTAATAGCATAAATATAAAATAATATATATTTGGTATGGTAATGTTTTTATATATTATAGTATCTTCAATTGTGGTAAAAAAATTCCATCTGTATTTTTGTATTTATTAATTATAATATTTTGTTTGATAGTTTTTTACTGCTTTAAACAATTAGTACATTTCACAGAAATTTAGAAAATTAATCATTTGACTTTTTTGTTAATATTTTGGTCAAACACATTGTGTAGAAGATAGACGAGCACGATAATAGTCATTTCGTGGTTTTATAAAGAATATCCCAACAATAGTTTCTAAAAACAAGGTATGTTTGTCCCGTTTTACTTTAATTTATTACAGTTGGATTCTTATTATTAACGTCTGATTTTATGTTTAATAATCGCGAAATAGTCACGTCAGTGATTCAGACTATCATCTTTATAATCATTGCGTAATTTATCCGCTATCATTGTACTAATATTGGACTGATATTCTATTATGTTTGTTTTCCAGTCAGTAAATTTGATATTCATATGAGATTTATCGTTTACTTACGTCAGCTTTAAATTATAAATTTGTTAATTTTAATTAAATATTTTTTTTATAATTATACAATTTTAACTAAATGATTACGAAGAAAAGTAAGTGTTCGAAACTGTCAGATTTCCTGGCTCGAACTGCCAATGTTTCGATAGCTTTATAATAAATTGTCGCCCACCCTAGCGGATTCTTGGAGAGGAGTTAAGTGGATGGGCTGTAGAAATGAGTAGTACATGCAGACACGTGGTTAACATGTAGTTTATTAACAATTACATTAGTAATGGGTTGAATTCACTTCATATAGGATAGTATAAGCTGTCTTTTTATGATGATGTGGCTTTTACTTGATGGTGACGAAACTGTTGATCTTGTAAGGATCAGCAATGGATTGTGCATGCTCTTTGGTAAGGAGTATGCCCCTTGTTGTGTACATAACGAGACATCTGCTAATGTTGTAAGGATTAGCAGAGATATGTGCACACTCCTAGAAAGGATGTGTGTTCCGAGTGAAATGATACTCTTATTCACAGCACTCATCTTTGTGATGAGTTATTCTTGTAGTCGAATCTTGAATTGCAGTTACAATGATCTAAGCGTGGTATGCTTCCTTTAAATATCCGTGTAACAGTTTACTTAGCTGGCAACAATGCGTAGGTGTTGCTATGAGAGAAATCTTTCATGACGTGCGAGACTAAAGCTTTAGTTTCGAGAATTCCAGAAAAGCAAAGCTTTAGAAGTTTGGAGAATTCCAACCGACGTTGCTATGTGGAGACCAGATAAGCTTTGTAGGACATTCGAAAGTAAAGCTTTAGAATAGTCGAGAATTCTCGGATTCAAATGTTTTCAAAATGTTTACAAAGAGTTAGAAGGCCTTTATGAGAGCCAAATTCTTGGAAAATGCTCCAATTCCGAACAAAAAGTGTTAAGTTTCATTTTATTTTTACAATAACATTTATAATTATTTTTGATTTCACATTATTTGATATACATGTATAATTTGACTGGATATTCATAATCTCGATGTAACTTATTTAGCGTTCTTAAATTAAAACGATATGTTTAGTAAAGTGGTTATTTATGTAATTATAAAATCACTGGAATTGTAATTTTTCTTTTATAAAAAATATCATTTTTCTTAAATGAATTTTATAATAAAAATTGTTTCAGTGAAATTATAAGTTTCATAGTCTGAATTATATTTATTTTTAATTTTTAAGCATAAAAAATATAAATAATATGAAATTGATTTTATTTTCACTAAGAATGTTATATATAAAATAATAAGTAAATTAAAAATAATTTTAAATTAATATCTAAAATTAAGTTATAGTTTACAAATGTTTTTTACTCAATAAAAAATTGATAATTATTTAGATTTCTCTAATTTATAGTACTACGAAATGAACTTAAATATTTAAATTATTTAAATTATTAAAATGGTACTAAACAAAAACAATTATAAAAAATTAATTGACGTGGACTTAAAATTATAAAAGAAATCTTATTAAGTAAATTAAGATTAATATATTAAACATAATATTTTTTTATAAACTGGATATAAATAACAAAGAATTTAGATATATGGTGGAATGATAGGAACATGATCGTATTTCTTAAAGAATAAAAAAAATTGATAATTTTTACATGAATAAATACATGAATTAATTTTAATTCTAAATTATTAAATTTAAACTGAAAAAACTTTACTGTAATATTTATTTCATGTTTTACGAATAATAAAATATTTTACAATATTTAAATATTTTAATTTACTCAATTCCGTTATATGAAAAGTCTAAATCCTACTATAAATGCAAGCATGCGCAAGTTATTACAGTATACGTAGTAGTGATTTTCGGAAAAAAAAAGTAGAAGATATATTTAGGTTATCGCTATTTGATGTTATGATTTATCTTGAGTTTCGTAAATCTACTGTTACGATCTGTATAATACAAGATTTAATCGTTAAAGGCATAAAAATGAAATTTTTCTTTTTTACATTTAGATTTTGTTAACAATTTATTATCTTTATTATAGCTTTTATGTAGTTATAAAGTCATATTTTGAGTATGAATATGAAATATCTATAGTGTTTTTTAATCAATAATTTAAAACCAAATTTATAATATTAATATTATAATAAAAATTTTGTCAATGCTTGAATATTTAAAATTTTATGAACATTGTTATTAAGAATAAATTATAAATCGTACAATTGACAATAGTAAGAGCGTATTAAAATTGCTAGTGTTGTTTTAAAATACCTTATTAATTTGTATTATGTATGGCTCGTAATAAACCTTATTTAAATAAATAAGCTTATATATTTAAAATTATCATTTTCATGATTAATAAAGTAAATTTGTAGTTGAATATTCAACTATAAACTTATTAAAATTAGCTAGTATTGCCAATATTATTTTCACTTGAAAACTGATATACATTATAGAAGAAATTATAATATATATTTATAATTGTCATATTTGTTAGTATTAAAAATTTCTTTATTTAATTTATACTTTAATTAAAATATATTCATTTTTATTTTCAGATATAATAAATTAAATTCTCATCTAATAGTAATCAAAATTATATTACAATAAGAAATACAGAAGAATGGATGTAAGTTTATTTTTTCATTCATGTGTAAAAACAGTTCTTGAATGTAATAAAGTCATAGAGCAATCTTGCAAAGCCAGTAATATTTCAAAATTTCGTAAAAAACAACATTTATTTATTATTAAGACTTATATAGTAACACAACAAATTGCAAAATTATATGAATTATTAGTAAATAATCATGTAGGGTATTTAAATTTTTCTAAATATTTATCAAACAACGTGTCTATACCAAACATTGATTGTGACAATATTGATTCTATAGCAGAGAATATAATTAGTACTTGTTCAAAACTTATTAAAGAATTGAAAAGAGAAACTTTATCATCTGATATTTCACAACAAAATCAAGAACATCGTGAAATTATAATTCTATTAATTGAAAATTATTTAAAACAAATATGTAAAATTTTTATTGAACAGAAAACTGTACGAATAAAGAAAAGAATTGAAGTAAAAAATATATCTAAATTAGAAACTGTACCAATTGTAAGAGAAGTATTCATTCAAAATAATATGTCAATGTTAAATATTATCAATACATCAAAAGTAAACTCATGTATTCGTGAAAAAAAATCTTTGAAAAGCTCAGAAATAAATGATGATGTATTTGGATTTTCATGTAATGATGATGAACAATTGTCTGCAGAAGATATACAAATTTTTGAAGTTGAAAATAAGCAGCTTTACAATGATCTAAACATTTTATCGGAAGAAATTAAACAAATTGAAAACAAAGTGGTCCAAATAACAGAATTACAAGATATATTTACAGAAAAAATATTAGATCAAGACAAAAACTTAGAACGTATACTAGTTACAGTCGTTGGTTCTAATGAAAATGTTAGAGCAGCTAATGAACAAATTCGCAGTGCTATCCAAAGAAATGCAGGCTTAAGAGTGTGGGTCCTTTTTTTTCTTTTGATTATGTCACTTACTCTTATATTTTTAGATTGGTATAACCCATAAAATTATTAATCATTTTAATAATCATGTAAACTTATTTTTAAGATAATAAATATTTTAAAATTTATATTTTTAATAAGTTTATAAGATTTACTGTATATATTTCAATAAGTTTGTAAAGCCAGTTTTACTTTCTTAATTTATGGGCAATTAATTTAATTATTTAGAGGTTTTATATTATTTTTAAGAATATAAACAAAATTTTCAAATATATTTGTTTCTTAAATAACATTTATTATAAATGTACTTTAAAAATTAATTGCTTACATACTTTAAACTATCAATTCTTCAATTATATTAAATTAATATATAAATTAATATAAATAATTGAATTAGGCCACAGTAATTTTCAACAATATTTTCCAGTGAGTAATAAAATTATGGTAGCACTCAACTATCTCATCAGTTTTTAATTTATTAGTGGATTTTATGAAGCTTGTCAGACTTATTGATCTACATTTTTTTGAGTGAAATTTTAAAATTTTTAACCAAGTAGATATTTTTTGTCACTTATCAATACTTATATACAATTTATTTTTTAATGCAAATATAAAAAAAATGTTAAAAGATAGAAATATGTTTTTAGCAAACAATTAAAATGAAATAAATATAAGAAAAAGAATACTTAAATTTCAAATTAATAAATATACATGGAAATTTTGCGTTTGTAAATAATAAATTGTATAAAATTAAATGCTATGTACATACATAACAATAATTTATACAGTTAATCTAATAATACTGTTTATTTTAGAAAATTAAATGAGCAGTTGAAAATATGTCATTTAAACATGAGGGGTTAATAAATTACTAAACTTTGATTTACAAGTTTATGGATTCAGAAAAATAACAGAATTTAAAATAGTTTATAATGTATTAAAATTTATCCTTAAATAGGTAATTTTATTTCAAATTAAAATAAAAATTTTAAATATATTATGGATCATAAACTATATAACAAAAATACAAATTTTTCAAAATTAATTTATTTGAAATCCATTCAAATTAAAATGTGAAACATCTAATATAATCAATAATTTCTTCATAATAAATAATTGGTTATTAATTTAAATTCCTCGATTAACCATCTATTTTAGATAAATATGATTATTAACAAAAATGATCATTATAAATTTCAAATGGCAAATTTATATTTGAAGAGTCATGAATGTATTAAACTAATAATTTCTGAGATTGGCATAATGTAATCAAGACATATATGTTCAAACTTGCATAATTTCTTAATCTTAATCTCTTGATAACTACACATTTTACATTTTACAAAGCATTTTATAACATCATTAATTTATGTTTATGAGGATAAAAATGAATATCATAATAACTATATAACATTCTGTGTGCGAATAACTGAATAAATTTAATTTCAATTTGAAAAAAACCTTTTTTATTATATATAGATAGCAGTTTAGATCTATGTTTAGATGGCAAGTTTTCTATTTTATTATGCAACTATTATTTTTAATTTTTTCAATTTGAATTTACAATTTCAATATGCCCTATTATTAATACAAATGAAATGATTTATTATTTTAAAATTGAATATATTATTTAAGAATTGAAGATATAATATATTGAATCCTATAATTGATATTTTTTCTTAGTTATATTAGGGTATTCATTAAATTTTTAAACTACATTATTCTACAGTTATGATCTCTAAATACATCTGTAATTTGTGCAAAAATGAAGTTGTTCTTTATATTATGATCAAGTTATATTAGAGATCAGATTGAAAGTACAATGTTTCTAAAAGTAAATGTTTAATTGTATTACTTTTCTTTAATAGTGGTATATAATCTTTGTTTAATTATATGATAACATCTAACTTTTTTCTTTGCCTTTTTTTGGTTTAATTACATTAAACAAATATTTTCTGTTTATTTAAAGTTCATGAATTATTGTGTCATTATTCTAGACAAAATTTTAAGTTTATAGAAAAATAAATTATATTTTTACTTATTTTAATTAATATTACACGATAAAATTCAACAATTACGGAATGGCTATAAATATTATTACAAGTTTATATTACGTATTTGCTTGGCTTTAGTCTATCAAAGCTACTTTGATAGACTTTGATTTTGCAAAAATATTAGTGATGAGGGTCGTGATAGGACTTACATTGATCGCATTACTTCTACATTATAGTTTGTAATATTTGTTACGATCTCGTATAAGAATATGTTGATTAGATAATTGAGCAAAAATTCTAAACAATCTACATAATTAATAAGAGTCTTTGATTAATAATCTATGACTATCCTACTTAATCTTGATTAAGTTACATATGTTTTCTGATGTAGTTAATCTGTCATTGATAATTTCCTACAATAATATTTATATAAGTTTTATGTAAGTTATTATTTATATAAGTTTTTTGTAATGACAAAGACTCTGTCTTAAATTATTTCGTTTATTAACTTCTGACAAAAACGAAAATTTTCTTAGTATAATTGGCAAGCTATGTCTTAATTTAAGTATTTTCTGTTCTTATCTACTTGACATTATATGTTTATATAATTATAAAAATATTTTAAATAAAAATATAAAAAATTGAAATATAGAAATTGTTTTTATAAAGAATTTAAGCACATTAAACGTAGAAATTTTATAAGCAAAATTATTAAGACATTTTGTTTAGTTCATATTTAAATTGTTTATTATACATTTATTATTAATAAACAATTATGTATCGTGTAATTCTATTTACTTATTACAGATGTAAATTATACGGAGATTGTTTATATATTTATAAAAAATAACATTCTAAAAACTATAAAAATATTGCTTTGTAATATTTTACGCATTCATTTTGTTTATGTACTATAATATATTCTTAGTCGGTGATAATATTTTATTAATTTACTGAATCATCATATGTTTAAGAATTTAACGATTTTTATTTTAAAATAAGTTAAATAAGTATTGAAATTACAATGCATGCAATAAATGAAAGTGTATAAAATCCTTTTTTCTCTTTAATTTTTTCTTGACCTAAGGAAGAATATGCTTTCATGAAATAGAAAATATAATGGCTATCAATAAGATTATGTAAAATTCAAAATTGTGATTTCATAATTTTTTTAATTTATAGGTATAAGGGTTTTTAAAGATATTGCAAGCAGAAAAAAAGACGATACGTTCATTATTAGTGCTACTTTATAATCATAATTGAAATATTCTGAAAATTAAAAGAATATTAATTGTAATGTTTTTCACAATATTTGTACGTGTATGTAATATATACTTCCGCTCGTGTTCAAAGATTTCTGGTAGTATCGTATTCTAGTTTGATCATTATGAAGTTTCATCATTATAATTAAATAATTTTGTTTAAAAAAATTTTAGTACGATGTTATGTATCTTTGAGAATATTAGAAAAAAAATATTTAATTTAATAATTTAATATTAATATCTAGTATAATGATATATATACAAATCTCAATGTCAAAATATAGTAAATATGCATTTATATTTTAAAAAATGTTTGTTTATTTTTCATATATACCATTATAATAAGATTAACTTACAGTTAAATAAATTATGTATACAGTATTATGAATCATACAGTTTTTATTTCGAAAAATATAATTTTCATATTCTTTTAATAACAATGTTGTTTATATTAATTATAATTCATTAATATTTTATAATAACTGTCTAAATTAGAAAAATTAAAAACTATTTTCTATGATTAATTGTGTTTATTATTGTAAATAGTCTAATTTTCTGAGAATACATAATCAATTAGTAATATTGTGTATTAAATGTCGATAAAATACAATGAAATGATAATAACAAATAAGTAGTAAATTCATTGGTTACTTATATTACCAATTATAATCATGTTGATGAAACGGATTAGTACATGGCTGTTGAATATGTAAATGAGTCATTATAAGTGGAATTTTTACAATATCAAATTCTGTATCTATTATTTCACTGTAGTTCTGTAAATAGAAAAATAAAACTTTTAGTTTTGTAAGTGTTTTTTAATATTTATTGTTAAATGTATTTGATAATGTTAGATTAATTATTTAATATTATCTGTGAACTACTTTATATTTTTAAGAAAATAAATATGTAATTATTTTTTAATAAATAAACTAATTTATGTAAGATAATCTAATTATATCTTATTAAAAATAATTATGTGTCGAAATATTAATTGGAATTTAATTTTATCATTCAGAATTTACAATTTATCTCACAGTTATTATGGTAAATCATCGTAACATAAATTCTTAAGTTATTTAATTCCGAAATTTTATAAGGTATGAATTTTTATAGGATTTCAGCTCCCTTTATGACAGAAACTTTATTAGCAGTAGACTATACGTTATAAAATAATGAGTATAGTATATTTAAATAGATCGGTCGCAAGGAAAAACTAGTAAACGTAGAATTTACGAGAACATTTTCCCATAAAGATTACGACAAATATGGATTCTATATATATCAATTCATATTATCATGTTATATGAATATAGTGATAAAACAGAACGCGTAGCAACATTTTCACAAATTGAATTTTCTCTTTAATTACAGCTCTAGGAATATAAAGAGAAAACAAATACTTTTGAATACTTTTTACTAGAAAGCAGAGTAGTGGATGGAAGCCAATTTTGTAACAAATTTATATATTTACAACTTGCATTACCCATATTAAGGATAAACTTAAAAATAGAGGAATTTGAGATTACATACTTTTGAATAAGTAAAAGTGGTATTAATATAATGTATAATATAACATTATATAAAAAAAGAAAAATTTTTTAATTCTAATCAAACATCTTCATACTATAAATTTTAATTTATAATTAATACAAATTTGTATACGCTCTAAAAGTAAAAGTTAACTGTTTTCAAATACCGAAACATCAAACGTTTCATTTAGAATTGAAGCAATCCAATTCTGGAAGGAATGAGTGCATCTACCATACATGTTACTTTTTTTCGAATTATGATAAATCTATTGAAAGTGTGATACGGCTGCTTAAACTATTTAAACGTTGATCAAATGTGTTCGTTCAGTTTAAAGACATGAGTTAGAACGTAGGCGATGTTTTTGAAAAATAAATTAAGAAAAATTGCTTTCAAAAAGAATGAAACATTAAAAAAAATTTAGACTTATTCAGAATTCATTTAATGTAATTTTTCAAATATTGAACATTCGTGCTTAAACTTAATTGTTCATGTTGTTTTAATACGCAAACTACTGCTTGTATATTATTGTGTAATTGTATTTGTTACGGATTGAAGCAGTTGAAAGCAGAATCCAAAAGTGGGAGAGGTATAAGATCCCGGGCAATTACGTTTATAAACACAAGTCAGCGAATTCGGAAAATTTCACTACGCTGAAAACTCGAATATACGATTATAATTCCGACTAGCAATGCCGATGAACCTTCTAAGGCTACGTCCTTCTGACGTCACGATAATGATCGGCATAGCAACAGACAACGGTGCGTTACCGGCGTCGCAAGCTCTTACGAAAATATTTAAGAGCAGCGCTTGACGCGCGTCTTCCTTGTGCTAGTACTAATTGCGCAATCTCTGCGACGGACTCGCTATTCTACCTTCAAGCATTACCACTACAGCAGTATCAAGCAGTTCAACAACCCAATAGTGACGCCACACCATTAAATCCGATAAACTTAAACGTAAACTTATATTCAAGAAGCTCGAGTGCAAACATAAACTAAGAGTGAAATTATCGAAACCATAACTACAACATATATTAACGGATCACACCGACGACTAAAGTAACAGCGACTCGCTCGTTCCTTTAGGAAGCATCGGTTACAATACGGGCGGCTCTCCGCCCACGTAAGCAATGCAACGCGGACTTCCTTACAACCACACCAATACCGGTGACACTCACGCCTACGTAAGCACCAACGCAACACGCACTTTCCTTACTACCACACCAACAGCAGCGGCGCTCACGCTCACACCGGCGGCTAAGGCTGCATCGTCTCACTCGCTCCCTTGGTACGCGCCTGCTACAACAGCGACACTTCTCGTAAAAGGAAGGAATCGCGCCTCACATTACTGAGAGTACATATACTCTTACCAGCACGTAAAACAATTGAAGAAACTTCATACTCTTTATGACAATTAACTAATTGTTATATTATTGTATTTAATAAAGGAAAGACAAGATACACTGTGTGTAGAATTGAATAATTGCATTTGCCTCTTCCATTTGTTCGCAACACTTCCACCCATCATCTACGGGAGATTTTCTGTTGGATCCCAGACAGTATTTTTTTTTTGTTATTTTGTATTGTGTAATTATTGTGTAAATAAAAAATACCAGTATATTTTTGTGAAAGTATCAGTTAGTATTTAATATACGGGGTTGTACCATGCTATATGATATTAGTCCTATATAAAAACGATAAATGCATACATTAATCTAAAGAATAAATACAACTACTGATACTATTTAATCAGCGTTATACAACTTATTTATTTGAAAAAAGTCTATCCGTATGAATCAACTAAAAAACTTTTTATTTAGTTTTTAATTAATCAGTAAAGATACCTGATTTTTGTAATCGCATTTAGGATTATACAATTTTTATATATAACTATAATAATCCGTTTATTTTTCTACTTGATCAAGTCTAAAATTTATTATTTATCAAAATTATTAGCATTGGAATGTAGAATGCTTTTATATAATGCAAAATAATTAATGTTGATGTAATCATACATTTTCTTGCATAGTAATATAGTAAATTAAAAAACATAGTAAATTTAATGAAAAATTAAAGTATAAGAGAATTCAATAAAGTAGAAATAATTGAATAAATAATGTTACGAGTTATTTTTCAGCAATTATTTTTTTATAGAAAAAGTTTCTTGTGTTTGAATATAATAATAAATTACTGTATTTTTATTTATTCATATTATACCAAGAAATAGGTGGATTAAAATCATTTCCTCTTAAAGTTTTATAATGATTTATAGGGAACCTCGATGAAACATTCAAATACTAATTCGAATGTAAATATTAGAATTTTGTACAAATAGTATGTTGTTCGAAAATGCTTGATTTTGTGGTTCGAATTGCCAATGTTCGATAGTTCAATTTAATTTGCCGCCCACCTCTGCGGAGCGGCTGTAGAGATATATAGTGTATGCAGACTTCGTTAAACATCGTTTATTATGGTTTATTGACAATTACATTATTGATGAGTTGAATTCATTTCTCAGGTGAGTGTGAACTACGTTCAATTACAACGATATATTTGCTCCATATTGATGGTTACGATGTTGTTGCTGATCTTGTTAAGGATCAGCAATGGATTATGCACACTCCTTGAAAAGGAGTATAGCTTATTTATATAATTGAGGCCTTTGCTAGTGTTGTAAGGATTAGCAAAGAGCTGTGTATACTAGTATAGCTTAGTTATGTAATCTCAATAGAGACTGCTGACATACTTTTATGATAAAGAGTACTTCGATACCGTGCTTCTTCTAGTCAAATATTTTCGTGTAATGCAGTCAGTACCCTTGACTGTTTATTAATTGTTGTACACTGGAGAATCGACATATGTTCCTTATGTAATGGCTTCACTGAGAGAGCGTAATCGAGTGAATATCTCTTGAGTGACTAGCTCATGGTTGAAGAGCACGTGTGGTGGGCTTACTTTAAATATCCACACTGCAGCTTAGTTAGCTGACAACAATGGATAGGCGATTCTATACGGAGACTAAATAAACATTGCAGGGCAGTTGAAAATAAAGCTTTAGAAGTTTCGAGAATTCCGGGAAAATAAAGCTTTGGAAGGCTGGAGAATTCCGAGAAACATAATGTTTACAAAATTCGAGAACTAGAAGGCTTATAAATTTCCGAGAGGCAAAGGTCTTGGAAAATGCTCCAATTGTGAACAAATGTAATTTACAATTTCTACTTGTTTTTAATTTGTCTAAACTTGTATAACATCACGTACTATCTTATTATATTTGCTTAGTATATATACAAACATTTACTTAATAGTATTTCGTTGATCCTTCATAATGTGAAACATAATTTACATATAAAACTGCTTCGAGTACAAGCTGTAGAAAACAATATATATAATAAATATTGATCAATAAAAATGTTTTCGAGACTGCGAGAACCTCTCACGAGTGTTAAACATCTGTGGAAAACCTAAGTCGTTAAACATCTGGAAATAGTCGTTACACTGAAAAATTAAAATGTAATGGTACACAATCGCATACACTATTGTCAAATCTAGCCATACTATCGCTTGGATAGTGAAAGCAAGGATGCTTTAATTGGGGCTTCCTCTTAGCGAAACGCTATGAGATAGACTACTTTCTCTAATTGAAGACGCAGAAGCTAGAGGCGCTCCAAGTAGAGACGCCAAAGCCAGAGGATCTCCGATTGGGGATGCCAAGGACTGAGCCGTCCCTAAGTGGGAACGCCGTGGTCAGAAGAGCGCTCTTAAGGGACACGACCACAAGTCAGAAATGCTCTCTCATAAGGGACGCTGCATCAAGTCACTTAGTGCCATCACTCAGCAGCTCAAGGTGCCATAGCCACCTTTCACTCAGCAGAGTTTCTCAAGGATTCAGTGTCATCGCACACTTTCTCATACTAGGTGCCATCGCACACACTCTCAGCAGAGCTGCTACGGAAGGACTTCCTTATACTCTGTGCCAATTATACTCTCTCAAGTGATTGCTTTCATAAGTCAGAGCAAGCAACGCGATTGGACGCCACATCAAGGTATCGAACCATTTTCTCACCCTTCTACACGACAAGTTAACTTGGAGGAGACCAGTAATCAAGTTACCACCACGTGGCACTACGTGAAGAAGTATCAAGAGATTTATGACCTCTCACTTGTCAATGTAGTATTTTACCACCAAGCACACTGCATCATTCGGAGGATCCGGAGATTTACGACCTCCTATCTCCACAAGTAGTGAATGCTGACACCACGTAGCAACATCCTAGAAATGGCAAGATCTCAGCGATTCTCATCATCAACGTAGAATCATTATATTGTAATTGTAAAATAAGCAAAATAACAAGCACGACCAGCAGATGTATTAAATACTAAATTGAAGCGCTACCCCTTCCACTAGTCCACACTTTCCTCTCACCAGGAGACTGGTGGCCATAGTCTAATTCAAAACAAAAAGGAATTAGAACTTTAATAAGTATTTATAGTTTTGTACAGTACATAGGTAAAAAAAGATATTATGCAATGTCAATATTGCACCTCTTGATGATACAAGCATTTAATAAAAATTGTTATAAATTTAGTAAGAAATATATTATTAATATGATATAGCAATTTTTCAGAATTTAATTTTGTAGTTCAATATCTACATGTTTATTTATTCTGCCTTTTATTTTTTTATTTATTTTTTTTATAGAATTTTATCGAACTTCAATTCATGCTTCTCGTATTGAATGTGAATATTTGAATGTTTTTAATTTACCTGGAAACTTCTTCGTATAATTTCGTCATCTCCTTTAGTGATATGATTGAAACTATATCCACCTATATTAATATTACTTAAAAAGGGATTATTTGAATTTATTAAACCTGAAAGAAAAAGTCGAAATAAATAACGAATTTAAAAATTATTTGACAATCAAGCTAATTATTTTAAATTCAATATTTCATAACTTAAATATTTTATTTAACTATTCCATTAATTCAAATAGCTATTTAATTAATATGAATAAATATTATGAAATTATTTTAATTATAATTCGTTTTATGATTTTGATAATTGTTCATATTGATTTAATTTAAGTATGCATTATTTATAATCAAATTAGATATTATATTGTAAAAACATATTGGTAAATTTTTAAATAATTTTCTAATCTCTAATAAAATTTCTAATATTAATAAATATACATATATTCCTTATGGCAGCTTTTAGCTAATTAAATGTACTTTATGTTGACTAAATTAATATATAGTAATAAGCACAATAGTTTACAATTAATATGTTACATCGGTAGTAATAAAATAAGTATATATGTAGCAGATTCAGTGGGTAATGTTCCCCATGGATTAGTGGTGATCCCTATAAGGAGATTTGAATACATTAATATCATTTATATATTTTTTAAATCGGTATTCGCTTTTCAAGATTATTTTTCAACTTTAATTAATTTTTGTATAATAACAAATATTAACATGAACTTAATTAGTAGTATTAAATAAACTATTAATACTTGAATATAATCTAAATCTAAATTATAAGGATAATTGAATATAATCTCAAAAAATTAAAGTACAAAAAGGTTGAAGATATTTTTATAGAAAATAAGAATTTATCACACAAATATGTGTAATTATTATTGAATTTCTCAAATTGAATACAATTATAGCACAATTGGAATACTATATAACATTAGAAGTTCTATGAACAAAAATAATTTCATCTTAGTTGTAAATAAAACACCGAAAACTAACACGAAATAGTAAATAAAATATTATATTGAAACTTAATAAACATAATTTCCTAATTAATTATTTTATTTATTAGATCAGAAATCCGTAGAACAATCTTATATCAATACAAAATAAGCATACATATACTATAATAATTTTTTACGGCTATGGGAATTGTTATTCATTGAATATACGGTACTAGTAAAAATATCAATAGACCTTTGTACATTAGCAAGAGATATAACGAAGATCAGAAAATGCTTTATACATTTTCTATTTTAACGGAAAATTTATGGAACCAATGCTTTACTTTTTTAATAATTTAAAATGCAATAACGTGGTACATAAAGCGATAAAGAAATAATTTAAAATCTACAATCTTGGCAATTAAAATGTAGAAGTTTTTGAATAAGTAAATTAAATAAATTAAATTAATTTTAAATTAAGTTTAAATATATTATATTATAATTATAAATTAATAAATTAAATTAAGTTTAAGATAAAAAAAATAGTTGAAACGGTAAAAGCGAAAAGTATCATTTATTGTTATATGTACTTTACATATGATCAGTTGAAAATCATCTAGAATTTATAAATTTATCATGAACCAAGCAATTTGCCGAACTATCTTTAATAGAATTGATTTCTAATCTAACTTATATATATAAAAAAATACACATAATTATACTTATAATACTTATTATGTACATATTGTAATTATACTTGTACATTATGAATCAGCAAATGGTACGAAGAATTTAGTGTTCAAACAAATTTTGTTAATCGAGACAATCGAGATTTACAAAATTTGTAAATCTTGGTATATTATTTCGAATGGCAATTAATAAATGTTAGCATCTATATTTTTAGAATAATTAAAATAAAGAAAATGAATAAAGATTAAGAGTTAAGGCTTAAACAAATTTTCAATGTTATATAATAGACATTTTTAAATATTTATAATAAGTAATATTATAGTATATATTGATAACTTCGTATTACATTTTTTTTTATAAATTTAAACGTTATCTAAGATTTTTATATTATATTTTTAAATTTTCTACTCTATTAATAAAATATTATAATTATAAATAATATCTGCTCGATTTTAAAGGTTTAGTTTATGGCACGAACTATCATTTCAATGTCCAGTGGATTAGTCTCTTGGCAGGATAACTTTAAAGGAAATAATAATTGACAAGGCTGAAAAAATATCATGTATTTAGTAAAAACAATGTTTATTATTTGTAAATGCTTATAATAATATTGCAACTTGGTATAGATAGAGATTATTCTATTGAAGTAATGAGGGTGTGTTCTTGTAGTTTTGATTGGCGTAGACTCTATTGATGTTACTGTGTCTTGTAATTGAGGTTATGCCGATGTTGTAAATATCAGCTGATGTAGCCAGTCAATCATGCTTATGAGGTAGCATGAGAAAATGGTGTTTGAATCAAGTATGCTTGATTTATTAATAACTATACTTGATATGGTGTAAGATGGTAAATGGAATTTATTAAGTAATCAATTGTGTCTTTAATTATTTATGGGGACAGTTACATAATCTAGCCACAGGTAAGAGTGGTTAATGATAAGAATTATAACTCTTGAAGTACTTATTGATCTGTATTTATAGTCGATTAATCGATCTGTTGTTGTTCTTCCTGAACAACGTGCTTAATGTATAGCGACACTTGTGTCAGCTGTTGAGGGCCTGTACGGTGTCAAAATGTTAGTTCGAGAGAGCGTAAGTGTGCCCGATTGACTCTAGTGGGCCTGTACGATGTCGAAGGGTTAGTTCGAGAGAGCGTAAGTGTGACCGATTTATTCTTGTGCGAGATGTGACTAGTTTATTTATTAATATAAAGAGTGTACCTTGTGTGCTGTAGACTAGGTGTATTAGTTACTGCGTAGTTGTTGTCCCCTTTGATTACTATTCCAATTGGCTTCACTATAATCAACACTAAATCTGCCGACTTTCCTTTATTAATGCACACGTGTATTATTAACTTGAATTGCTGAATATATGGCCACGTATCGTTTTCACAGTATACTGTAACATTGAGTGGCAGTTACACTTAATTGAGCGCGAGGAAAGATTACAATGAGCTTGCCACATGGCGGGCTGCGCTTAAATATGATGCAGCGGATGCAACGCCGGCAACAGTGCCGCGGTGAGTCGTTTTCCAGAAAATTCTTTGTGGCGTTTGAAAACGAAGCTTCTAGAAGTTTCGTAGGCGTTCTTTCTTTGTGAGATCTGATAGTATATTAGATTTGAGATCGTAAAACTTGCTCGGACTTGTCGAGTTATGTTTATAAACATTCGCCCGAGTCCGTGTGTCGGTCCAAACGCGCGTGCCGTACGCCGCACAGCGCGTATGACCTACTTTTTCTGAAATTCATGGAACTGCATCAATTCCGAACAATATCAATTAGAATCTTTCAGTAGATTGGTAGTTAATTTGGATTATCTTATTTTTATAACTGAGATTGTATGTAGTAATTATGGAATAAAAACATAAAATAATGATTAAAATTTCCCCTTAAAAGTTATTCAAATATAAGAGAAAGGACATAACTGATCAAAAGTATTGAAAATATAATTTTTCAAATTATTGTATATTAAAATGTTGTAAAAATGCAACTATGTTTTAAATGACTTACTTTTTTTAGTTAAATTGATTATAATTAATATTGCAATTTAACTAAATGCAGTATCAGCTATTTTAAATAAAAGAATGTTATATTAATTTTCGTTAAAGAAATTTAAAGACAACATTAAGTAGTAAAATTATTTGCTTTTATATTAAACTACATATGTTTATATATTCAATGAAAGTAAAATATTTAATAGCTGTATAAATTAGATTATTGATATTAGATATTGATATTAGATAAACTTGATAAATAGAAATTCTATGTATCCTGTATGTTTACGTATATTTCAAGAAGCTAATTCAGACTCAGATTTCATCATTAGGTTAGTTGACACATTTAAAACTAAGTATTAAATCAAATTTAAGCATACAAATTTTATTATTATTTTTTTTATTACTTATGTTGTACCAATTTTTAATTTGAAAAGCTATGGTTCAAAACAAAATAAGTAACATACATGTAATATATTTACTCATAAAATATATATTATAGTTAGGAAATTGTATATTTTAGTAATAAATTTGTATACTTATTATGTTTTATAATTGTATATTATTTATTAATTACCTCCGTTTTCTCTAGGAATATTTAAATTTCCGCTAGAAGTCTGATAAGTTGCTCCATAACTAGATTCTTGATTTGATAGTTCATGTATGCGATTCGAACTAAGTGCTCTTGGAATAGCATTACTAGGTACGCCGTGAGGAGCTAAATGCGTTACTTCTGCTACTTGATGCGGATCTTCTGTCTGAGGTAAATCTGATACAAAACCAGTGTCTTTTCGGTAGAAATTTATAAAAATAAATGCAGCAAGTACTATTAAACATAATAATCCATACGCACGAAATGTAGCTGTAGTACCTGTTAATGCAATAAGACGTATATATCTTTATGGTATCAAACATAGTAAATATAGTCAATTTATATAATCGTATATACATAAAATAATTAAAATGTTAACAATGAAAAATAAATGAATAATTTCGAAATAATATTTAGTTATATGTACTCTAATTATTATGATTACAGTTTATTTTCTGACAAAGTAGCGCAAGCTCGTACATTCATTCCCTGTTTTAAGAAAAAAGACTGCCAGATATCGTATTATATATAAATTAACTAATATATTAATATATATATAATAACAAATATTTTAATTAATAGTTTGTTTTTATCTTGATTATCAATTAAAGAATATTATAGAAAAAATGTAGAAAACTATTATTAAATTATGAGTTCATCAACAAAATTTTTCCTACCTTATTGTTGATGATAGTATATTTATAAAATGATATACCTACGAAAATATACTTATTTATTTTTGTATATTAGTTTTTATAATTCAATTTCAATTTATAATCATAATTAAATATATAAAATATATTGTTAAAAATACATATATATATATATTTACCATAAATTGCAACAAAAATTCCACCAATAACTGCTCCACAACCTCTACCTAATCCATGGTGCAATCCTTGAAGTACGCTTTGTGCATTTGATCGTAGGGGTGCTGGAGTATTGTGCGCTATATAACTACAACAAGCAGCCCAAACAGCAGCATGTGTTATGCCTTGAATAAACTCAAATGGCAAAACCCACCATGGATTTTTTAACCAAGAAATATATAAAAATCGTATAACGTTTCCGCCTAATCCAAGACAAAGTACCTAAATTATAGTATTTTAATTTATTTAATTTTCAAACTATTTAATATATTATTTAAGAAATAAATTATACATACCTTGACATGGCCAATTTGTCGAATGAGTCTAAAACTGAAGAAATAAGCGAAAATTTCGGAAATATGATTAATAACTGAAGCGACACCAAAAAGTGTTGGAGTTCCACCATAATCTTGAAGATGCCAAAAAAGGAAAGTGAAAATAAGACCTATACCAAAACCCATATACCATGCAACAAATAGAAAAGATGCACATTTAAGATCCTTAAATTGCTTTAATATTGTTACCCATTCTGGAATTTCTCGTGTTGTTTGAGCAAATATTTTAGTCTAAAATAAAAATAAAACATTAAAGACTTGTTAATAGATTAATAAATTTATACATTTTGTTTTAGTTAATAAAAACGATTAAAAAGTTAATAGAAATTAAAGAAAAAGTTGTATTCAAGAATTTATAATCTAAATGCAGAAATAATCATTATTGATGCCTAATTTTTTTTGTTACTATTTGTGGAATTATGAAGTTTCATGTTTGTGATATGCGTATTTCCAAAGATTTACTAAAATTTTAATTTGTCTACTCTTTGTATAATTATTTCTATAAAATACAATAATTTAGTGAGTATTTTCATTTAAAATATTCTTTATTTTCTTCTTATTTAATTTGAGATTATGTATACAGATATTCATAAAATAGTCTCATGGGACTCAAAATCTTAGAGCACAATAAATAAAATGTGACAGTATATTTACTTTATAATATTAATTTATCATATTTATACTTATAATTATATATATATATATGTAGTACATTATATTAAAATTATATAATTATAAAATCTTATTTTTTATATAAATACATTCTTTTTTTTATGTTGATAATAAGTTAATTCATTTTTAATTAGTTTGGCCTTCTCCTTGATCTTTCTGATTTTGGTTTTTTTGTTTCTATGTTTCAGCATCATATAATAAATTATTCGAAAGTGTTTAAAAAAATTATAAAGAAATTATTTAAGAAATAAAAAAAATTAAATAGTTAATTTGATTACGATTTGTCGTTTGAAGTCGTTCATTAGTTGAATGTGTATTTTTATGTTTTATAATAATTATACTTTTAACATATGAAAGAAATTGAAAAATTATAAGTTATTGCTATACAGCAGCAGTTTCTACTATGATATAAATATCTTTATTACTATTGATGTTAAATTTTCTTCAACATTCAATAAACCCTATTTCAGTTAATTAAGCAAAAGTTTAATTTAAAAGAAACAGTAATGCTCTTTATAGATCATAAGTTTTTAACCTTTTTCAAATATTTGTATTCATACTTCATACACTGTAAAAATATATGAACTATTAATTTTTTGTTCTCATTAATCCATGGCAAGTATTTCTTAGATTCAATAGGTATATTTACTATTTTGTACGTTCTTTAGAAGCTTCGATTATATATTTAAATATATCTGAACACTGCAATTCATATTGTAACTTTACTACTTTATTTTATTATACTGAAAAGAGATATTAAATCTACTGTTATTCGAATTGTTATTTTTTGGCTCGAACTGCCAAATTCAATAGTTCAGTCTATTAATATCTCGCCGTAGCAATACTTAGGAAATAACACATGTGAAAGGGCTGTAAATATGTATATTGTGTAACTTCGTTTATGACATCGTTTCTTTTGCTTTATTAACAGTTACAGTATTGTAGTTCTATGTTCACTTCTTGTGGAAGAGAGAGAATTATTGTATTACAATGATGTGGTTGCTCCTTGGTAATGGTGGCGATGTCGTTGATGATGTCATTAGGATCAGTAATGGATTTTGTGTATTCCGTGAAGGGGAATATGACTTATTGAATTCTATGCTGACGTTGTAAAGGTCAGCAAGAAGAGTCGACCATCAGGGGAGCATGGAAGGTGGTAGTGGTAGTTAGCAAGGAAAGTCGGCCATACACATAAGAGGAGTATGGAAGTAACTGTGTGCAAGTTACTCTCAATAAAGACAGATGATATACCTTCAAGTGTAGAAGGATCAGATACAATGCTTTGTATCGTCAACTATTATCTAGAATAGCAGTCAACCGTAGATGGATTGCTGTCTGTGTGCACTGGAGAAATAAACGAGCGTTCCTTGCAATGGCTGCGTTGAGAGAGCGTGTGTTGCGTGACCTTATCCTTGTTGTAGACTCCGTGCGATATCGTGGCTTGGGCGGAGATGACTGGCTAGGACGAGTGACTAATTGTGAAGAATAACTAATATCGTACACTTTATGACTACCGACACTATGTACTGAATGACTGCTTTATGTTAACTACGTGGAGTCTTGACGCGCACTTCCCGAAGTATGAGTATGGCAACTAACTCTAGCTCGAAACAAGCTTTCGGCTATTCGAGAATTCGGTGAAAGCAAACTTCAGAAGATTCGAGACGTTCCCGTTGTTTTAGATAATTGGGAAATTAATGTAAGAAAATGTAAACATTCTGAGAACCGAAAGCCTCGAATAAAATGCTCCAATTTCGAACAACTTTATAATATTATATTCACTGGTAAAGAAGAAATAGATACATAATTAACTTTCATTGACATACTTTTATAAATTACGAAGTCTTAAGGAACACCCTTCATTATAATAGATTATAAACAAGTATAAAACTTTGGATTATCCATAAAAACTGGACGTCTTATTTATATACTAGTAAATAAATATATTTATATAGTAGACTTATCTATATAATAGTATTTAAGATAAATAATTTTCTCAAATGAAATTTTTTTACAAATTTATAAATTATTCAATGGATCATGTTCAACAGTTCCATTTATTCATTTTGAAGAAATTCTTCAAACAAAAGTAATTTCAAAATATTTTTTCATGAATTCTTTGAATTATGCTCTATTTTATATTTTTCTATATTTTGGTCATTACTGTAGTAAGCTGTAAATAGCAAACAAGTTAATCCGAAAGAATAAAATATAGGTCAATCGTGGTAGAAGAAATTACTCTGTCATGAAAGTCATTTAGAAATTTATAACCATTACAAATAGGAATATGTTGTTAATGTAAAAGATTCACAAAAATTACAAAAAAAAAATCTTTGATGTTTCTAAAAGACTATAATATATGACTATGTATATTGTTTTAAATAAGGATGATCGATAAGAATAAATATAATTATTATAATTTTCAATACCAATCTACTATGTAATAAAAATTGCTAGAGTTAAAGATTACTGTGCTATTTCTGGATTAATTATAATAATATAAATTAATTGTAATAAATTTTATAAGAATGAAAATATGAATAGCATTTGATTTTAGCGGAATTAAAACATAGTATTTAAAATAAAATCAGTGATGTATAAAAGTCCATATTCTATTTACGTGTCCTGGATTAAAATATCAAATTTTAAAACAGCAAAAAAAATAGGAATCTCTAATTTACAATATATTATATAATTTCTTCACAATATTACTTCATTTATAGTTCTCCTACATTATATACAAAAAACCTATTAACTGATAAATATAAAATCGAAAGAAAATTTATATTTTTTCACAAATGTATCTAATGAAATTTATTTAACAATAAAATGTATAAGTGTTTCAAATAATCACTTCTCTGGGTATATTATATTGTTTATGTTTAAATTGCAACTTTTTCACACATCACACCAAACATTAAGAAATTCTAGATTTCTAACATTTACAAATCTAAAACCAGGCTATATATATGTGTGTACGTTCTAAAACTATTCACCAATTAATAATATCTGCTTTTAACAGCTAAATCAAGAAAGTTGCATGGAAGTAAAAATTTGAGAAAAATAAAAATCATTTGAAAAATATTTGTGTTCGGGATTGATGCAGTCCCATGAACTTCAAACAAAAGAAAGGTCATACACGCTGTCCGGCGTACCGCATGTGCGCCTAGACTGACCGCATGTGCGCTTAGATTGGCCGCATGTGCGCCTAGACTGGCCCGCACGTACGAACCGGGACGGGTGCTCGACAGAATATTTACAAACAAAACTCGGCAAGCCCGAGCAAGTTTACGACCCGAAATATAATATACTGTAAGATCACCCAAGGGTGATCACCAAATGTAAGATCACCAAACTCCTACTTTCCTCTCGTCGAACATTCTCGAAGGTTCTAGATTTTTCCTTCGACGCCTCGTGTAAGAATTAGTGCAACAATGACGATGCCTTGTTGCCAGCAAAGTGAGCCGCCGCGTGGCTATATAAGTGACGCACGCGGCGCGTCTCGCTCTCTTGCTGATGATACCGCTTGCTGAAGATACCTCTCGCTGAAAATCATCTCTTGCCGTACCACCCTCGCTCCACTGCGCTTGCGGCTAACATCTTGCCGTGACCCGATCGCAGTGACCGACCACAGTGAATCGATTCAATCATCTAGCAGTAGAAGCCATGGCACACAGGTCTCGGTCTGCCTTCAGCACGACCGCCATGAAACGGTCGGTATTTTCAGCAGAGCCGCCACGGAACGATCAAGCCTTAGGCTTAGCAAAAATAGGACACACTTACGTTCTCTCTAACTAACCCTCGACATCGTACAGGCCCACTAGAGTCAATCGGGCACACTTACGCTCTCTCGAACTAACATGCTCAGCAAGCTGACACAAGTGTCGCTATACATTAAGCACGTTGTTCAGGAAGAACAACAACAGATCGATTAATCGACTATAAATACAGATCAATAAGTACTTCAAGAGCTATAATTCTTATCATTAACCACTCTTACCTGTGGCTAGATTATGTAACTGTCTCCATAAATAATTAAAGACACAATTGATTACTTAATAAATTCCATTTAACATCTTACACCATATCAAGTATAGTTATTAATACATCAAGCATAATTGATTCAAACATCATTTTCTCATGCTACCTCATAGGCATGACTGACTGACTACACCAGCTGATTTTTACAACATCAGCATTACCTCAACTTCAAGATACTTAGTCATATCCATAGCATCTACAATAATCAAGAATACAAGCACACACCCTCATTACTTCGATAGAATTATCTCTCTCTACACAACAGTGCAATATTATTATAATCATTTACAAATAATAAACATTATTTTTACTAAATACATAATATTTTTCAGCCTTATCACTTATTATTTCCTTTGAAGATATCCTGCCGAGAGACTAATCCACTGAACTATTGAATTGGTAGTTCGAGCCATAAACTAAACCTTTAAAATCGAACAATTTGGAACCTCTGTTTTAACAGTTGGGATTCAGTTTTTTTATATATAATAATTTTTACAAAATTTATTATTTTATTATTTAAATCAAGAGACTTTAATTCATATAATTTTGATTTAATTAAAAAAGAATAATTAAAATTAACTAAGTTATCTATTTTAAATTATTAATAATTTAATGATAAAAATACAAAATAGAAAAATAGATAAAAATTACATGTTTTCATATTAACTAGTCTTTATAATTTTCCGAAATTGATAAAATATGTATAATCTACAATGTGAAATAAAAATGAAAAGTAAAAGTATGAAAAATAAGTAATTCTAACAATTAAAACATTGTCCAAAAAATGTGAGAATCAAGTTTTTAAATCAACAGAATTTATATATGAATAATTAATATTTTATTTAATATAAGTTTAATATATAAGATTAGAGTGTAGCATTAAAGGAGAATGCATAATATTTTCATAGTCATATATTTATCTAAATATTTTCACAAAACACTACTGCAGCTATTGTCTAGGCTATTCTTTAATGTATTTTTAAGTAATAGCTAGGAATTTAAATTATAATTATGATTCTTTCAACAATTTTTCGTATAACTATGTGAAAGATGATATATATATATATATATATATATATATATATATATATATATATATATACTTTGCAACGAATCAAGAAAATTTTTTGTATGATATATGTGTATATATGAAAATTGTTACTTGGAAAATTTTATTATTCAATTTATTCAAATGCTACCTAAAGTTAAATATAAAATAAATTAACAAATAAAATAACATTAAATAAAACCGAACCTTATCTTCTGTAAGTTGTGGTGTCTTTATTGAATCCTGTAAACCAGGAAGATTCAATTGTTCAGAAAGTTGATTTTGTAGTTGTTCTTCCCTTGTAATTTCAACTGGAGATTTTTGTACATGCTAATGTTCAACAAATATATAAACAATATTTATAATATTATATGTAATAGGCGAGATATGAATTTAAAAAAACCATTTCTTACTGGTTCTATTGAAATCGAATCATATTTAAAATTGATTTGTGTAGCAGTTATAAGAGCAGCACCCATTAGAACGCTAAATATTGCAAAACAAATAGTGTAGTTCTTTTCTTTGGCATCAGGCCCACATGGATGATCAGGAAAAGCCGTGCTATGATCTAAAGCAATACCTACAAAAAACATAGCTAGGCCCCAACCTAAACTTCCAAACATGCGTTGATGACCGTATCTGTTTAAAAAATTATTTCAGTAAATATAGAAACATATATTGATATTTAAATAATAGTTATAAAACAATCATAAATTTTAAATAATTTGGAAATTTAATATAATGATTTGTATACAAACCAGTACGAGATCTGATATCATAATTACTTAATTAATACATACATCTACCTATATAAACGGAATAACTCTTAAATTTGAGACTTTCAGAGAAAATTTGATAAAGATTAATTAGCTTGATTACCAAAAGTGGTTTCTATTGATGTGATAACGATTGAACTGGTTCTATATCAATACTAATTAAGTGTAATACAATTGATTCTTTTTTAATCTAAGATAATTTAGTATTTATATATGCTTACAATATTATTGTAGAATTTGCATACACGTCAGCTTTATTCATACTAACTTTTAGAATAAGTTATAATCTTCAAACATAACTAATTTATACAATATATGCTATTTATTATGCTACTTAATAAACAAATTTTATAATCAAATATATTTAACAAATATATTTTTATTCTTTTAATGTTACTAAAAGTTATAAATAATTTTTGATAAAATAAATAATTAAATTTAAATTAACAAATAAAAATGTTCGTTTATTGACATAAATACGTGAAGACGACATGTCAAGTAATCGCGTTTCTTTATTAATGTATTTCTGATTATTAGTAATTTACTAGAAATATATTATTTTTATATTCTTTTCATATAATTTTTCACTTGATTTTCATTGGTAATATCTATACATTTATTATCGTTTTTCTAGTTTTCATATTAATATCTGTTACGGATTACAGCAGTTTTAAGCGGAATGCAAAGTGGGAGAGGAGTGAGCGCGCGAACATTTGTTTTGTAAACATTGGCCAACGGACCCAAAGAATGCTTCTAGCCGAAAAACTCTAATACGACTATAATTCCGAGAAGTAATAACAAATGAACCCTACGAGGCTATGCCCTATTGACGTCACGACAATTAGCGGCATAGTAACAGCCACCGATGCGCTATCGACGCAGCCAGTTCGTACGAGAATATGTAAGGAGCTGCACGTGTCGTGATTGCCCTGCTAGTACCAATCATGCACTCTTCACATTGGGCTCGCTATCCAACCCTGCCATCGCCATTGGGAGGCCAAGGCGAGCATCAAGCAACCCAAGGAACTAATAGCGATGCCACAACTATACTGGCGCCCACGCCCCCGTAAGCAACGCAGACGCTCGTTCCTTACTACTTCTTACTAGTTAACAAGCACTCATGACGACAGGACCAGCAATCTACACTCGCGGTTTACGCCCGCATGTAAATAACGCCGACGCTCGTTCTTACGACTACTACTGCAACGGTTCTTGCCAACTCAAGTAAGATGCGACCAGACGCCTTTCTTACATCTCACCTCTACACCGCGGTTTACACCCACATCGAGCACACGAACGTGCACCAATACCACCACTACCTTTGAGCTCACGGACACAAGCAGTGACGTCACACGGACGTTCTCCCACCACTCCGTACACTGCAGCTCACCCCACGCCGGCTGCTAAGACGGCACTAACTTGCTACCCCTACCACCACGAGTCTCCCACTACACTACTCAACCCAAAGGAAGAAAGAGAATCACGCTCCAGACTATCAAGAATACACGTACAGACTTATCGCCACCAACATTAATGAAGAAACACTGATCTATTCATTCTTCATACACTCATTCCGATATTCATAGATTATTAACTATTCATTATTTATTATATTTAATAAAAGAAAAGACTATAAGCATTAAAGGCAGTATTGAATAATTGCATTGCCCCTTCCACTTGCCAGCAACCCTCCACCCACCATCATAAGGAGGTTTTTAGTCTGATCCCAGACAATATCTATTATTCATTATTCTAGTGAGTACATTTAACATATATCGCTAAATTATATTTTACAAGTATTTTTCGATGTTTAGATATTTTTGAGATTGTTTTAACTTCAATATATATCAATAATATGCAATAACGTAATCCGATAATACGATTTACGTTGTATTCTTATTTTCTTACATATTTGAGGGATTGTAAAAATTGGATAGGTTACTTTCTAATTTTAAGTAAGTACGTTTAACGAACATATTAATTATATCGTTAATATACTTCCAATGATATTTTTATGATTTTTATTATTTAAAATTTTTATGTTGCTCATTATAATCTAAAATTTATGAAAAGTTCATAAAAAAACAATATTTGAATGTCAGTCATTGATATACTTTCTTTTTTCTTAACTGAATATAAAATATTTGATAATATTATGAATAAATTAAATCATCTAATTATATTACAAATGATTAATAAATAATTCAAATATTTATACATGGTAATAAAAGTAATTGTTTGATTTTAAAAGTTTAGTTTATGGCTCGAATTACCAATTCAATAGTTTAGTGGATTAGTCTCTCGGCAGGATAACTTCAAAGGAAATAATAAGTGATAAGGCTGAAAAATATTATGTATTTAGTAAAAACAATGTTTATTATTTGTAAATGATTATAATAATATTGCACTGGTGTGTAGAGAGAGATGATTCTATCGAAGTAACGAGGGTGTGTTCTTGTAGATTCTATGGATATGACTATCTTGAAGTTGAGGTAATGCTGATGTTGTAAATATCAGCTGGTGTAGTTAATCAATCATGCTTCTAGTATCTTATCGTATCTTGTAGTAGCATGAGAAGATGGTAGTTGAATCAAGTACGCTTGATGTA